AACATTTTGTGGTCTATTTTCCAAGTCTAATCATCAGTGTCTTGCGTTAATAGCTCTTTTTAAAATGTCTGAAAATGTATTTCTATGTGGACACCCATGATGACATCTGTATGGCACTATCCCTGCACCCCCCATATTAAGAGAATTGTTTATGTTCTGTTCCCTCTTCATTAGAGTTTATTTTTAGGGCTCATTTATAGTGCTGTTGTTACATTTTACCCACAAACCACTAATCGTTAAAATGGCTGCTGCTAATATTAGCAACTAGCAGCTGTTTCACACTAGAAAATAGTACCAATAGCAACTGGTAATTCCTAGCTGACAAGAATTTTAACATCTCCCATTGAAAATAACAGAAGATTTTAAGTGCTACTTAACGAATCATTTCCTTGCTAGATGCTACAGTTTACCGGCTTCCGCTATCTCGCCTAAATTAAAACCTGCTTCAGCTAAGTGTAAAAAAGAATAAAAGTCAAGTTAATGACGGCAAACTATACAAAATATCCCATAGGAAAAAAATACATCTAATTTATATGTATTTGCACTTAAACAGTAAAACAACTCCTGTTGCAGTGTAAGCATGCAGAAGCCAAACACAGAAATATTGGACACAGGTCTTCAGGAAGTAACAGGCCTTTATTCACATTACCGATCGGGTCTCAGATGAACTCCTGTTCCAACATTCTGAGAGACCAACACATAGTGTACATTCCTTATATAGCACTATAACTCCTCCCATTAATAGCTACACCCACATATACCTTTAACCAATCAATGAGCAGACTATAGACTTGTACATCTAGTCAAACCACATGGCTCATCCAAGACAAAGGAAATAAGTGCAATTTCAGTTACTGCATTCCTGCACATGCTCAGTACACTGATGACAGTATCCTAGCTACATGTAGCTAACCAACTGACACAACATACACATATGCCACATGGAGATTTTGGCCTACTAAATTTTGACCATGCTGGAATCCCATCACATTCCCCCCTTTTGATGCCTCTGATATAACATTATTCCAGATGCATCACCAATCACAGTTTTACCTACATCTCTCAAGTAGCCATTGAACCAGAGTAGACCTTGTAAGCATCTTAAAAACTCCTTCAACATTCTTCATCCTGAATATATTCTCTTCGGGCTAGGGGATCATATCTTCCAGACAGCCATTACATGAGCCGCTGTCTTTCTCTCTATAGTACTCTCTATAATGCTACGTAGGGACCTTACCACTAGTGGAATTAGACAGGGCAGGAGGAGGCACAAAAAAATATAATAAATTCTACTCCTCCTACTAATGTCTTAATTCCTCCAAGTTGCTCATACCAACTTCCAAACCAACTACTTAGGTTATACCCATTCCAGACCTGAGTAGGTACATGCTCAAATTTAACCATGTGGCTTGTAAGTTCAGCCACTGCCTGCCCTTCATCATCTATGTGCAGACAACAGTTACTTAGATTAAACTTTCCGCATACACCTCCTTCTACTGCTAGTAAGTAATCAAGGGCTAGCCTATTCTGGTATATGGCTGATCACATCTTGGTATTTTGCTTAGCTAGAAGATTAAGCACTTGAGCTGTGTCATTAGTAATAATCTCAACTACCGCCTGTAGTCTAATAATGCGGTTGAGCATATATAATCGGAGTTCTATATCCATAAGTGCCATCTTCTGCCCAAGTAGTAGGTCCATAATAATTAATAATACGTTGAGGGGGCCCACTCATTATCTTCCCAGCTACCTATATTCAAGGATGCTTTCTCCCTTTTATGATTTACATCGTAAACCTTAACTCCCAAGGTCTCTCCTGTTTCGATTGGCAACAAGAAGAAGGATGACTTTGGCATACCTAATACACATGCCCCTTCCCAATCTTGTGGTAACTCCAAATACGTTTTCTTACCACAGATCCAGTATAAATTTGCTGGGGCTTTCCAACTAGATGTAGCCGATAAGTCAAACCATACCTCCTTTAAATGAGTGTAATTGGCAACCGGATTAGTAGGTTCCGAGACATTTGAAGCTGACCACCAAGTAGTATTTTTAGTATTAACATTATAGGCTTTTTGTCCCAAGCACGTTAGCTCACCTACAGACGTGTTATACATTGTCCCTTTCCTGGCTATACAAACATGACCTATAATGGAGGTTTTTAACCACCATTCCAATTTACTTCTAGTACTTACTTGATGATCAGACTGGAAAGGTATCTGTTGTTCATATGTCTCAGAGCCAGGGTACCATATTTCCTTTGCCTCCCATGGCCACTGGTCTCCCATATTAGTACCTCCACACACATAGCAATTAGTTACATTAAGACTACCTGCAATACCCTCAGCCAAATCAATAAATAGGTTGTTAACATTATGGGGAATTTTATCCTCAGTACTCATCTCCTCATAAAAGGAATGAGAAACCTGATGAGTTTGAGTTGCCACTGTCTCAGTTTCAAGACCTACATATATTATTGTTCCTGAATCTACTCCTGTGCCATATATTTGAAACCCAAACAGACCTCCAAACCTGTCAATAAAGTACTGCAGATTGGAAATGGTCATGTGAACGGGGTTACACACATAGTTTTACAGTATGGTGTGGTAGGCAACCTTTGGATAATCATATCTTGATCCACTGTTTTTCCCAGGTTGCCCAACCTACACATGACAAATAGGGGCAGAAGTTAGTCTCTATTTGGGCAATCAGGATCAGTAGATCTTATACTGGGACATAAGTATTTATCATTAAACCCATAAGTTCGTTCCCATTTAAGATTACCACATACATTCCAAAGTCTTCCACTACCCGAAATCGCCTTACATGCATCAAATAGTAGAATACCCGTGGAATGTATGGTGCTTATCACAGTCCTATTTAGTAATGTCCCCTGGGAGTTACTATTCCGAATTACCAACCAAATTGTACGGGGTTGGAAATGGGGATCAAAACATTTAGACTCTCCTGATATTGGCTTGCACACACTATAATCAATATCCAAATATCTACATTTAGATACAGATCCCTTACATTCATACTGTGAGTGCCAGATGAGAGTTTGGGATATTTGGTTACCTGTTTTAGTAGTCTTAATGCAACTATCGCAATTCGGTATGTCTGTACTCCTACCTTCCTGAAAAATCATAAAAATACTAAGACACAATAAAACACATTATTCCTGAAATCCTCATTTTTCTTCGACCGTGCGATGGCCTCTCAGCTTCCCGATTGTGAGGGCTGCAAGGATGTTGTTCTTCTGATCCTCACTTTCCTTCACAGAGATCCCTTCAAGATACTCTGGCTATGACACGTAGGCAGGTGGTCAGGCTTTATTATGGCCGTCAAAACACCTACTTGATGATCTTTGTAGACTTTTAACTAGAATGTCTCGATATCCCCTCGTCACTCCGACTGAGTTGCACGCTTCAACCGGGTCCTGCAAGGATTCTCAGGATCTGGAGTAGTTTGCCAAGAGTCTGCTGCTGGTTTAACCTTAGAATGATGAATCCAAGGAGTCACTTCCGCCACCTTTACAGCTGTTGGGGTAGATAAAAGAACAACATACAAAAGCTAACAGAATACACCCCGAGCTTTAACTCAATATGTATTGGTGGGATATTACGAGCAAGTCCTGGAGGATTATTTTCTTCCCATACTCCTGGAATGTCAAATAAGGATTCATCACTCTTAGGGTTAACACTTGTCACTATGGAATAGAAGCGTCATTCTTCTTCCCTTGGCACCGATATCACCATTATGCCTGGTAATCCCTTAAACTTCAGAGATGTTAATCCATTAGGTAAAAGGTTATCTGAGCTTAAAGCTTCGATAATAGATCTCGTCCTAAAAGTTGAATCGGACACTCTGGCATATATAGGAACTAATGCTTCACCACATGGCCTCCCAGAATACAAGTGCGACTCTTAAGAACCGGTCTAGCTGCACTTCTCCCAGTAGCTCCTATCACAGTTATAGTCTTCCCCGAAGGCGGAGCCACCATCTTAGTCACCACAGAATGTTCAGCACCTGTGTCGATCATGAAAGAACTTCTCTTTCCCCCTATTGCTACATCGACCATAGGCTCCGCTCGACCAAGTGGGATGGAGCCCAGTCGGTATCAATAGTCTTCCATGATAGTGTCAGCCAGACCCACAAAATCTCTATCCTCTCTTTCTCTAGGTCTCTGCGTGGGTGGATAGTATCTGTCTCCTTGAACACTTCCTCTACTATTCCCATCATTCCCTCTAAAACTTCCTCTTACTCTATAACTACCACTATAACCTCCTCATACCCTTCTCTCTCCTTGTCTATCACCTTCATACTGCTCTCTCTGTGGACACTCACTCTTCCAATGTCCCTCCTTTCTACAATACGCACATTAATTCCTACTTAAAGTCCCTTGCTCAGCCTATTCTCGTCTCCTCTATTCACTTCCCTGTCTTTCTACACTTAAGATAGCTACCGCTAGCATATCTGCCTTTTTCCTCATTTTACGTTCTTCCTCCATCTCCCTATTCATATATACTGTATTTGCAATCTCCATTAGCTGTATTATGGACATCCCTACAAATCCCTCTAATTTTCTGTAATTTCCTTTTACTATCACCTTGGGCCTGGCTGACAAATGCTGAGTCTATCATTCGGAAGTTTTCAGGGGCCTCTGGATTAAAGGGAGTATACAACCTATTTGACTCAAGCAGTGTCTAATATGGGACTTCGGCAAGGCTGCCCAATAATAGGTTCCAGTCTACGGGTAGTAAGATAGGTGCAAGTGGGTGAGCTAATTTTATTAGTCAGCATTTGGTGGATGAAAAAAAACGTTTTTTTTTAAAGTGTTAAACCAAAAACCTACCAGTAGGTGTCACCAGAGGGTAATTGTATCAAAATAATCTTTATGGGTCTAATAAGAAAACTCAACTTTTAATATATTTATACATAAAATAAAACCTTATAGCAATAAATATATTAAAATAGGGTAAGCAATCCTACATCTATCTGTTATAAACAATGTATTATCAATGTAACTCCCGAAGATGGCCAGTAGGTGGCTTAGAGTGCCTCCCTAAAGTCAAATGAAACAAATAGACTTTAATTAATTATGTCCTATTTTATTATTACTTATTTTAATCAATGTCCACCCTGCTAGCTAGGCTTGATTAAATCTTTAGTTCTAAGGTAAATTAAACATTTCAGTTTGTAGTTTAGTAAAAAGGGGACATTTTGGACAAAGCTGGGAGGGGCCCATCCAGTAACTAAAAAAAAACCAATATACCATCTGATACCATTGATCATTGATTAGGGGGAGGGGTAGTACAGAAATACAAGAGTTTGAAACACAGGAACAGATAGGTATGTGGGTAGGCGGGGACAGTAGAGCAGGGGGAGTGCAAATACTGACTATATACCAGTTCTTAGCTTGGGAAGAAGAATAGGGGCGTGGCTAATCTGGCTCTGGAGGATGTTTGGGGGGTTGGTAATCAGATGCCAGGGGGGGAGGGGATGTCCAAAGCAGTTGTAATTAAGTCCTTAGTTCTGACCACCATATGGCTACATTGTTTCCCATATGACACAGTTTAATTCACCAAGGCAACAATCAGTTTCCAACAGTCAATATATAGAAACTGATCATAGAATTCCAGCCTACTAGTTACAACCACATGTACACCCTGCTCTAAATTTAAGTGAAGACTGCTACATGGAGGCCATGCAGCCACCAGGACAAGCTACTCCCTACTTTTTTTTTTTTTAAACATACAAGACAAAGCCTTGTGAATCAGAAGATTATTTCAACAGAGCATCTGATTCAAAAAGCTGTACAAATATACACACAGTTTCAACAGTCACACCAATCTCCTTATCACCAGCAACACATTGCGCAGTCACTAGGCCCAAACACACACACAGGATCCTCACATGCTCAACAATATCACGACGTCGCACACACGAAATTAAATCAAAAACCCACCAAAGACTATACACTTATCAATGTAACTATTATTCAAACCATACAACTATCCACGCTATTAATCCATATAAACTAACCGATCACATAACATTTCAACAAATTTCATCTCTACAATTATCCGTACTATAAATCAACTTTTGACTAACCAACTATATCACATTCTAGTAACCTCATCTTTACAGTCAGTGGTTATGGTACAGTTAGTAAGTGGTTATAATACAGTTTTAAAGTCACAGATCAGTTAGTAACAGTTATGGTATTATACAAATAACATAAAACAGCAATTGTTAGTAATTTTTACACAATGTCAGTGGTTATGGTACATGTCAGTAGTTATGGTACCGTGCGCTATTTTACAGTTATACACACAATTTACACTCCCACTAGACAGCAGAGCTCTAACTTTCTAGTAGGACATACAAGTTAACCAATTCACCAACTACAATATATTTAACAACATTTACAATAATCCCAACTATTCTAACTGGCCAGCACCTCGAGAGCTTTCGATCTATTTATACACCAGAGATTCGATAAGTTCTTCGCTGCCCAGACACCACGTATAGCGAACTAGAGGGCAGAATTTACACAGTACCCAGCTAGTCTATTAAACTATCAATAAGCTAGTGGCTGGATTTACAACAGAGCACACTTAGTTAAGATAGGGTGAAATCTAGCAAACTATAATATACAACAGAGTATGCTAGTCTCCCGGTCCCCCCGACCTAGCGAACAAAATTTACACCCTAGATACGCTAGTCAAGACAGGACACCGGTGTCCGACATGAGCTATTTACACCAGAACTCAGTCTGACCCAAACCACCTATATTAGACGGGCTGACTACAGAGCGTCTAATTTCCAGATAAGTGTTGCGCTTTTCACTTCTTCCTTCTACTGAAGGGGCCAATACCAATAACCGGTTCCAAATATAAAACCCCTTGTGGGTCTACCGCTCTAACGGTATCAATCTCACCTGTTAATTACTGGACCTGGGTTCACTCATAGACGGAACAATCCGGGACTCACTGCGCAGAAGCCTATGATCTCCTGGACAAAAGGCCAGTGGCGCCGAGACGAAAGGAGGTCCACGCAGTAGAAGTCCAGGATTGTAGCGTAGAAGGTTTGGTAAAAGTTTACCGTCTCAAATCTCTGTGCCAGCTTCCGTGCGATGAGGTTCCCGGCCCAATTGCACCAGAAATGTTGCAGTGTAAGCATGCAGAAGCCAAACACAGAAATATTGGACACAGGTCTTCAGGAAGTAACAGGCCTTTATTCACATTACCGATCGGGTCTCAGATGAACTCCTGTTCCAACATTCTGAGAGACCAACACATAGTGTACATTCCTTATATAGCACTATAACTCCTCCCATTAATAGCTACACCCACATATACCTTTAACCAATCAATGAGCAGACTATAGACTTGTACATCTAGTCAAACCACATGGCTCATCCAAGACAAAGGAAATAAGTGCAATTTCAGTTACTGCATTCCTGCACATGCTCAGTACACTGATGACAGTATCCTAGCTACATGTAGCTAACCAACTGACACAACATACACATATGCCACATGGAGATTTTGGCCTACTAAATTTTGACCATGCTGGAATCCCATCACACTCCCAGTGCGTATTGACAATCAATGAAAAAAGCAGCCAGACTCAGAGCAAAAGAAAATCTTCACTGAACAATTCACATAACGCAAATTAACTAACTAGTGTGTGTAGATGTATGTGTGTACCCAACAGCTAATATTTGTCAGTTGATCTTAATTGCTAATCCAATCTACAGGATGGGCCTGTTATTCTGTCCAGTTGTGGTTGTTATAGTGATGAATTAGAAGTACCCCAGTTTAGCACTTTATATTCGAGTTGCTAATGGGTATATAGAATAGATAGGTGAACAGCGCTAAGAATATAAATACATACATACAAAGAATGGAGGTAGATTTCACAGTTGCGTGTCTTAAAGAAAGAAATACAATAATAGTGCAAAATGCAAATACAATAGTGCAAATATAGTAACACTCACACCTTTCAGAGCTTTACAAGCTCTATTTATGGTGCCTGGATGGAATAATCCCCGTGTATGGATTTTTTTGTAGTTATCAACACTGTGTAGTTCTCAAAAGGATGAGGTTCATCATATGCAAAAGATAAGAATAGATACCAATGGTACAGTATATAAATGAATGGTGAATAAGAAAAATTAGACCTACTTACATCAACTAGAGCAATGACTTGCTCTAGTGTACGGAGCTTTAGGTGGAACAATCCCAACCTAGGGATATACGTGGACCTGGAACAGCAGTTGGATTGTGAGTATGAGGTACAATATATGACTGGATTGTAAAAGAGATCTTTATTTGTAAATACAGAAAATATAATATAGAAACTATATATAACACTATATATTAAAAAGGTGAACTATATATAAAAAACAGTCCTTATGGTATTGTCCTCAGTCTCCACTTGACGCGTTTCGCTTGCAGCTATCTCAAAAGTGAATGTCTGCTGGTCGGGTCCAATGTTGTTTTAGTCTCCTAATTGTTCTATTCAATTCCGGTGTGTGTAATAGGTGTTTCCGGTCCTGTTTGCGTCATTTCCGGGTGGTTGTGCGCATGTCCATAATGACATATGCGGGAAATTATCTCAGAGCCATTTTGGATCATGGGGAAAGTCCAATAAATATACAGTAAAAAAAGGCACATGCAGAGAGATAGAGATCTTTGATCAAAAAACAATAGTGTTTATGCTTGTAGTAGATGTATATAATCATATAAATATGTGGTAATAAGGATAATTAATATATGGAATATTATATATTCCGGCGGGGGTCGTCGTGTATTGCATGCTTTACATGACGGCCGCCATTTTTAGTGTTGGTAAACATCTGGAACCTGACTGGATATACACAAATAGTCTAAATCCAGAAAGTGTAATTGATTAACCCCTTAAGGACACAGCTTCAGAAGCTTGTCTTACGCTTAATGACACAAGCAATGTTTGCATTTTCTTGCTGTATGCATTCAACTACAATTTGCATCTCTCTCGTTTATTGCACCGACACATATTATGTACCGTTTTTTAAAGGACAGAAAGGGCTTTAATTTGATGTAACATATATATATATATATATATATATATATATATATATATTATTATTATTATTATTGCCATTTATATAGCGCCAACAGATTCCGTAGCGCTTTACAATATTTTGAGGGGATGTAACAATAAATAGGACAATTACAAGAAAACTTACAGGAACAATAGGTTGAAGAGGACCCTGCTCAAACGAGCTTACAGACTATAGGAGGTAGGGTATTAGAAACATTAGGACATGGAATATCAAGTAGAAGTGAAGCAGAGCTGGAGGAGAGAGCAAAGCACTATCCCATAGGAGAGAGCAGGAGACAGGTATGCAAGGTAGAGATTACTCTGGGAGGCCATAAGCTTTCCTGAAGAGATGGGTTTTAAGGCCCTTCTTAAATGATTGAAGACTAGGGGAGAGTCTGATGGCAGTAGGCAAGCTATTCCATAGGAGAGGAGCCGTCCGAGAGAGGTCCTGCAAGCGCGAGTTGGCCGTACGGGTGCGAGCAGCGGTCAGGAGGTGGTCACGGGCAGAGCGGAGGGTACGAGGAGGGGCATATCTATGAATTAGTGAAGAGATATAAGAGGGGCTAGAATTGTTCAGTGCTTTAAATGTATGGGTTAGCACTTTGAATTGACTCCTATAGCATACAGGGAGCCAATGCAAAGACTGGCAGAGGGGTGAGGTGTGAGAGGACCGACTAGAGAGGAAAATCAGTCTAGCTGCAGCATTCATTACAGACTGTAGCGAGGCAATACGGCTTTTGGGGAGACCAATCAGGAGAGGGTTACAGTAATCCATGCGTGAAATTACTAGAGCATGGACAAGCTCCTTGGTAGCATCTTGCGTAAGAAAGGGGCAGATGCGGGCTATGTTTTTGAGTTGGAACCTACAGGACTTGGCAACAAACTGGATGTGAGACTCAAAGGTGAGACCAGAGTCAAGTATGACACCAAGACAGCGTGCTTGCAGGGATGGACTTATGTGGATATCACTGACTTGAAGGGAGAGCGAGAGAGGAGGATCAGTATTAGGAGGAGGAAAAACAAGTAGTTCAGTTTTAGAGAGGTTAAGTTTCAGAAAGCGTGAGGACATCCAGTCAGAGATGGAAGAAAGGCAAGCAGTGACACGTTGCAGGACGGCAGGGGAGAGGTCTGGGGTGGAGAGGTATATCTGAGTGTCATCAGCGTACAGGTGGTAGTGGAATCCAAAAGAGGCAATAAGTTTACCAAGAGAGGCAGTATAAAGAGAAAATAGAAGGGGACCAAGGACAGACCCTTGGGGAACTCCAACCGAGACAGGACGAGGGGAGGAGGTGTTATTGGAAAAAGAGACACTGAATGAGCATTGGGAGAGATAGGAGGAAAACCAAGAGAGGACAGGGTCACAGAGACCGAGCGATTGAAGAGTTTGAAGGAGGAGAGCATGATCAACGGTGTCAAAGGCAGCAGAGAG